TGGCTCGTTTAGGTCAGACACGTTGCAGTTAGGATTACCCTGTATTTTCTCGGTTGACGTCTCATACCCACTGGCTGGTTTGAAGCATCATGCGGTTCATCTGCCAGGTGACCAGCAGGTCGGCATCTGCTCGAGTCTTCATGACCTGGAAGCGGCTTCGACGCGGCACATGAGTGGCCAGGCGAAGACAGGAGACTTGATCAGAGAGCTGAGGCATGCGGAGGCCCTTCAGGCAATGCACGCTGCTTGCAGCAGTCCGCATGACCTGGATTTCCTTGTAGGCGAATGAACAAACACCGCATTACCTGTTGAATCTCGCGCCACGTGCTGACATTCATGGTGTTCTAGCGGCTCTAGCGATGGATGGCAAGAGGAAGGAGTCGCACATCTGGTGCGACACCGTGCGCAGAAGTTCCCCAGCGCAGGTCGACGCTTCCGATCGATCGGTTTGGCGTTCTCACCGGCCTGAGGCGGAGCTCTCACGATGACATGGGACCGTGAAGTGCGTTCTTTGACCCACTTCTTGAAGACACTTCACTGAGGCTTCACTATCTTCACTATTTGGCCTGTCAACGTCACGTAACGAAGCCTCACCACCGGTTGAGTTCAAAGCGCCTCACGAAGCTGACCTAGGACACCAGTTTGGAAGGGAGTAGCGGATCGGTGGGGCTTTGTTGACCTGGTTGGGAGCCATCGGTGTGGAGCTTTCCGAGCTTTCGCCGGCTTGAACACCAAGTTTTCATGGACTCACCCAACCTCAAAGCCACTCAAACCAGCGTTTTGGGCATGACTTTGGACACCTTGGTGTGGATGGTTGCGTGCTATTAGGCTTTGTGGGCTGGTGGAGTTGGACCGGAAGGTGCCTTTGGTTGGCGCCACCGTGAGTAACCGGCCTCGGCCGGACGGGACTTGTCCGACAGCGCAAGAAGTGTTCCAAGGGCTGGGCCATCCTAGTAGCGATGCCAGGAGCCCCGTTCGTAGCGTCCTTGTTGCTACTAGTAAGGCACTTGTTACTAGTAGCGATGCACTTGTTCCTAGTAGCATCCTTGCTCCTAGTAGCGATGCCCTTTGTTCGTAGTAGCGAACATTGCTCCCAGTAGCGAGGCCAGGAGCCCCTAGTAGCGTCCTCTTGCTCCGGTGAAACCTGTCGGTCTCCTCCATGGATTCCAATTGGATCGTCACTCCGATAAAGACCGAGTTGGTGATGATCACCTCAGCCACCGTTGTCGCGCCGTTTTCGGCGGTCGCAGCCTTCTCTAACCACCGCGGAGTCTAGACGAAGTGCCCAGTCTGAACATCCATGGGGCTCTCGAAGAACCGGATCAACAGGCCAAACACCGTTCGGCATCACCTGCTCGACCTAGATTCATCCACCCAGCTTGCCTTCACCGCCCACTACTGGGCGTTATACACTCTCCATGTTCCGAGAGGCCAAAGCGAAGAAGGACTCGAACTGCCAGGAGTCGACGAGATCTCTCAAGGTCCTTCGACCTGACTGTGTCCGGGCCGAAGAGGAAAGGTGTGACAGGCCGGGTTCCCTGCTTCTTTTTGAGACTCCGCCGGATCGACTCACTCTTTGGGCCAAGATGGCCATGCATTGCTTGTGCATCAAAAGAGACACGCATGGACACAACATCAGGTTATCGCCAAAGCTGCAGAAACCAAAGGCAAGAGGTCAAAAACAATTAATCTTCCAAAACAAGCGACAAAAAACAGATTCAAACATACATCACCCTCCCGAGAACATGGCTGCCAAATGAATGCGATCCCAAACCACCTACACGTTTCACGATTTGTCACATGCTTCGAGCGACAGTGGCTCATCTTCTCGAAGGACTTCGATCTGCTGGGGATCCGTAAGGCTTCTTGCTTCTCGCTGACTTCTTTGGCCTCACAAACAGGACCAAATAACATGAGAAAAGGACCCGGACCGTCGGTCGAACCTCTGCATGAGTGAGTTAGGTATGAGTTGAAGTCACGAAAACCCTAAAGCAGTTTGTTTGGGGGCTGATTGCTACGTCATGCTACTCAAGCCGAGTGGATGCAAAATTGAGCGCCTCAATCCGGACATGGACATAACTAGTGGCTGAGCCTCCTCCAGGATCCTAGGTAATTCCTACCACAACCCCATTCAAGACAGCAAGAACATCCTATACACCCCAGGATTCCTTTCCCACCATTGATTCATTTTCTTCTTTACTTTACCGAATAGACCACTGTTGTAGGAGGGATTTTAGACTACAACACCAGGTCAACCTTTCCTTTTGGTCTTTGAAGGCTGGGGTGGTCAACATCCTTCTTTAGAGGCTGTTGGCATGGCTGAGTCAGCAACAGTTCTCTGCATCGTAGAATACAAAGAGCGATTGGCAAATATCACTTCAGTCTCCAAATTAGGAGCAATTCTTCCCAAATTAGGACACAACCACAGGTTCTGCAGGTTTCCCTCGTTCCCTTCGGCTTCTTCACCCGGAGTCTTTGAGTCGAACATGTCCATTTGGAGCCAACGACCGGTGCGACCGTCGTCCACGCCGGATCCTCCGGAGACCCGGGGCCGCACAACGGTCGACCGGGAAAGCTTTCCACATGCCCAGTCGACACTTCCTGGCTCCTTTCATCCCGGCTTTCTTTTTGCCTCCTCTGGGGATGGTTTATGGATCTATTTAACAATTAAACCACAAAAGGCCAACGATTTCCGACAAACTCAAAGCTCCACGTCCTCGCCTCCGCCCCCCAAACACGCCAAACCCAGGCACCAAGTTGTAGGTCTCTGAGCGCCGCGTGTTCAGCATGCTGGGCCGCGACGTGTCGCCGGTGCGCCGCAGGTCGCCGTCGGACTCGGCGCGCGCCGCCGGTCGGCCTGGAGCTTGGGAAGATGGATGATTTTCTGTGGGGAAAATGGAGACCTCTAAATAAACCTCTAAAATAGAACTTTCTGATGAAACATTCGAACTTGGATTTGACTTGAGTTGCAGTCCAAATCATTTGTGTTTGGGGCGTTTTTCGGGCATAGGAGGTGTCTCCTTGCCTTTTCCGACCTCTGCCTACAGGGTATCGTTCAGGGTCCGCTTTCGAGGAAGAACTCTAGATCATCTGGATGAAAGCCTCTTGATCATCATCATCATCATCGTCGTCGTCGTCGTCATCATCATCTGCATGGAAACATGATCATGATGATTCTCTTATCTTCCCTTGACCCTGACGGTCTCTGACTCAGAAAACCCAATGACACGTCATGGAACACTTCGCAAATTCTTTCAGGTCGTCTCTCACCGTCCGAGTCTTCGAATCACCCAAGTCATCCGCCTCCATCTGCATCTTCCAAGGCAAAGAACACCTGGTCCGAGGGACCGGAGCGCCGTTTCGTCGTCCGGCCGCGTCACCATGAGCAGGTCGTCGGGGCATGACCGCCGCTTCGGTCGCTTTTGAACCATGTTCGGTCGGAGCGGCCTGGCAACACCACCCTTTTCGGCCGCGGACGGTCCAAACGGACTCCACAGCCCACTTTCAATCTGGGGTAGATGGGGGGGCCAAATGCTAGAATACAGTGTAACGCGAACTTATGGAAGGATTGACCACCTTCCTGGTCCCTTGCGTCCAAGGATCGTTCTTCTTCTCCGGAATGGGCAGCACCGTCGGCAGTGGCAGTGCCTCCACGTAGGAAGCCAAGTCCAAAAAGAGCCGCCGCTGGTGATCCTATGCCGAGGCTCTGAGGCAACGGAGTCTTCAGCACGAAGACTGCTGCGTTCCACACCGACAACGGTGGCGGGGGGGGGCACCGTAGGGGTGGATGACCAAACAAAAATCCTGGGCCCTTAGGGATGGTTTCATCCTTTAACCCTTCCTTTGCGATGGTGATTGACTGCTGAAGGAACTAAGAGGTTGGTTAAGATCCAAGTCTTGGAGACTCTGCGTTCGAGAACGGAGGATCACCCCCACCCAAATCAGCTGCCTCTCACGGCTGTCAATTGAACAAAACCACACGGACCCGTCCCAAATCGATTTCCAACCTAAGAAACCATCAGTGGCCATATTAGGTCTTGGACATGCTCCAAAAGAGGTCTTACTTAGCGAAACCGTTTCTCCAGTATCTCTAGTGCGAAACAACCTGAAGACACCCCCACACATCAGCTTTCAGGTACAGCTTTGCTGCTTCCCAAAGAAGGCAACCAACACTCACAGTTCCAGCAACAGAGAAACACACTCAGTAACACAAAACAGAAACATCAAATTGGCCCTCCTGCGTGATGGCCCGCAAGTTCTTCAGCAGCAAATCTTTGTCCCGTTCCATCGTCTTCGACGTGAACCCGTCGCGGTGACGGGAACGAACCCAACACGTCGTCAGGAAACACGGTTAGTCTGAGGTGTTTTGATCGACGTCAAACGAAGTGGCGAGCACTCACTCTGGTGTTTCTGTCGTCTTCGTGTAAAAACCTTCATCTAAGTCTTTTGATGTTCTTTGTGATGCTTGGGTTGGGTGGAAAAGGTAGGCCAAAATCGCGATCTTCTCAGGATTCGTTTGTTCTCTTGCCGTGCTTGTGTTTGTTATTTTCTGAATCGTTTTGACCTTTCTGCTGTGACCTGCATCCATCCATTCACTCCATCCGAGATCCATTTCGGTGAACGCCTTTCCACTCTGAGCCGGAACCGGGCTCCATGCGAGCGGCGAACAAGTCGTGCATGGAACCTCATCGACTGTTGCAATCAACTTTTCAGGTGTGGTCAGAAGGGAATCATTCAACAGTTTGCAACAATCACTTCCACTTACGTCCGTGGCTACAGCTACTCATGGGTGGAAACCGGTACTCTAAAGACCCTGCCACAAAGAAACACACACACGTTCGACACCTTGCTCCTAACAGGGTTGTTCTTGCTCCTAACAGGGTTGTTGGGAACTTTGAGGCAAAAGTGGAGAACCCATGGCCATCTGCCAGTGGCCCATGCTGCTGCGGCTGATTCCCCACGAATTCCAAGAGCCCCCTCAGCCGGTCCCCGAGCCGCGCCCGAGCTCATCGGACCGGTCGGCCGCCTGGGAAAGCGCTTTCAAGCGCTTTCAACGCACACACAGCTTTGGGAGAATGAAGTAGCACTGCATCTACCTGGGATGTCTAGTGGCCAACTGAACCAAATAAAGGATTATAGAGGATTTATCCAGTCCAAAAAAACACACATTGTGGTGCCTAGACGGACACAACAGTTGAGGGCTCAAAAGAGATGACACATGCAACATTTTTGACCAGATCAGTATGTCAACTTGCAGTGGGGTTGATATTTTCTATTTGCATGCCATTTCTCTTTCCATTTATCATCGCTTACCTCGGAAAGGTGTTTGTCTCATCATAAGCCAATTCAACACTTCTGGAAATGTCGCACTTCCTTTGCCGCATGGAAACATGCACCATGGACATCAGCGGTAGAAACACCATCGAAGGCCGCTTCAACTCCAAAGTCAGGCCATCCTTTTTCATGACATCAGTTCCATCACGCTCGGCGTAGAAAGTGAGAGGGTCTGCCACAAATCTCTGAGCGTCCCAGGCACTCGCAGCTTTCAGGGTGGCCAAGACCACCTGAACAAAACGATTTTTGAGGCTTCGTACGGCTTCGTGGTTCACCCGCAAAATTGCATCTTTAGTGGGTTAAGGTTAAAGGTTACCCGAAAGTTATCTGTAAGGTTGCTGGGTGTCTATAATAATCCCTGTTGTTTCAGAAGAGTGAAGCAAGCCACATTGGCATGTATACATATGCGCATTTCACTTGCCACTGACTGTGCAAACAGCGCGGAACTAGGTGGCCCTGCTTTTCGCTCGGAACTTCGTGTGTCGCTGCTTCGCTGGTTGGTCCAGACCCTCGCTCCAGCTGCATAGCCGAGATTACCCAGGCTCCCTACTGCCTGCGCAACTGAATTTCAGCCTCTACCTCATTTACACGTTCACCCCAGCCCTGTGGACCAGTCCTCGAATGCCTCCTGGAGCAAAACAGGAGATCTTGGCGACACCACTTTCATCCTGATGGGAAGGCTCAACGGCAACAACAAGTCTGGAAATCAGAGGTGCAAAGGAACAGCTGGATTTCCAGTGAACGCCAGTATGCAGGTGGCCTGGCCACTCAAGGCTTGCTGGCCGACCGGCTTCGCTATTTATGGCAGAGTGAAGTTTGTCTATGACCCGGGCTATGGCGCTGCCAAGAGGACAGCGAAAGAACGCGAGGCAAGCTTCCTCGAATTTGCCAGGAGCCCACCCAATACAACTCACATCAACGCACCAACCAACTCCACAATCCTCAGACAACTACAACACAACAGGTCCCTTGTGGGAAACTCATGATCATGGCACCTACAGGTACTCCATGAACAAGCCGTGTGTTGTTTGCACTTGTTGCCCTGATACAAGTCAAGGCCACTACAGCGATGACCGAGACATCATCCAGGCTAATGACAACACGGACTTAGCCGAGATCCTCGATTACAACACCACTGACCACATGTCCTATGAATTCAGAATGGAAAAAACACTTTGCTTCATGATCGGAGCCCTCTTTGGCATCCTCATGTTGGCATGTTGTTGTGGCTACCTGTTTGGTCGTCGCCAAGGCCGACTACAGGAACAGGCACTTCGAGCAGAATGCCCCCGTCTTCGCGATGAGATCCTGCACGCAAAAGCACGGAGCACGCAAGAGTGCTTCAGGAAAAGATCAACCCAATCCAGACCATGAAGGAGAAGGAACAGGCGTTGAATGAGGCGTTGGAAGTCGCCCACATCCAGGATCAACTCCCAAAAGTCGAGGCGTTTCTTTCTGGCTGGCACAAGCACTGATAAATCGCCCCGTGCGAGAAGAGGAAGAGTGCCATGTGCTCCTGGAGACATTTGCACCTCACCTTGTGGCGCATGCTGGCACGGGAATTCTTCGTGCAGCGCACATTCAAATGAGAACTTTGTTGCGCTCCGTAGAGCATGTCCCATGTGTGTAGGACCAGCTAATGCGCTGGACCGGCGACGTGGCATCACGGGAGCAACACTCTAGGAACAACCCCATCAGTTTGAAGAGGATTGTGGTGCTGCCACATACGAGATACACCTTGCATGAGGTCCCTTTTCCTGTGTCGGTTCAGAAGAGCGCAGAAGAGCGACGCAAGCCACATTGGCGTGTATACATATATGCCGACCGTTTCCTTTTCTTCTCAATCCACCTAAAGAGCGGAACTTTGCACATTTCACTTGCCACTGACTGTGCAAACAGCGCGGAACTAGGTGGCCGTGCTTTTCGCTCCGAACTTCGTGTGTCGCTGCTTCGCTGGTTGGTCTAGACCCTTGCTCCTGCTATAATCCCCATTTTCTTTGATATCTTCCAGTTCTTGCACAACTCGGTACAACCAAAACATAACCTTCTTGCAACCTGCATCAAATTTGCAACTTGCAGATTTTGGACTCTACCCTTCGGGCCAAGATGATATAGCAATCCAAAAGCGAAGGGCCACTGCATTTCTTGGCACTGACGAACATACACCCAGGGGTGTCTCCATGATCCGATTGGACATCCAACCACAGTGATCTTTCCCAAGATATGTACCAAGAGGAGATTTCCACAACTTCCTCCCTGCGTTTAGCCACATCAAACTTTCCCCCCACCTGGTTCCCCACCGCGTGCGCCTCCTCTGGCAGATCCATCCAGGTCAACTGGCGCGACCCGTGTGTGTGGACGGTCCCTTCCCCTCCAACGGGCTTCGGGTGTTGGAGCCCCCCTGCGAGTCCTGTCCAGGCCGTGAGTAGAAGACGTCCACGTCGGCCGTTGGTCGGCCTTCATCGATGGTTTTGGCCGCCATGATTTGATGTGAAGCTTGGGTTATACATGGTTATACTGGGCACAAATCACATAGGACTTAAGGCGTCAAGTCACATAAGGAATATAGTAGGGTAAGTGAGGTAAGTTCTATGTCATGTCAAAAACGTGTTGGCACCTAACTGTTAGGTGACTGTAGGTAGAACAGGCCGAGATACGACTTGTGGCATCGCTTAAAGAGCAGCCTTGTGCTGGGTTGCATGGGCAATCTGGTGATTCTTGCACTATCACTATCTGTTTTGGTTCCTTTTGCCTGATGACATGGGATTTACACACTCCGGATACAAAGTGGATAAGGCAAATGAGTTCCCATGTATGTTTTGTCGTTTTCTAAATCCATGTCGCCCGAATGTAGTATACGCCTGAGAAGTCACAAGTGCAGTGACATGGGTATCCATTGGGGTCCTGGGGAACCCAGTAGATGAGTTTTAATTCTAATTCTAATTGAATTCTTGTTTCTAATGGCTTCTTGTTACTAGTAGGGCCGGGAGCCCCTAGTAGCATCCTTGGGTAACATCGACCAGTCAAACTCCCGGTTTACCAGCCACGGAAGGACTCAGACTGCACGGTGCCGCATGACCCATCGACCCCGCAGGCGTTCGACCTGATGTTCCTTGGAGAACTCCTGGCACTGGCCGAGATGCGCTGGAGGTTGCAGCGCGCCGCGCGTCGTTTCGCGGGACTTCGCGTATTTTTCATGGCTTGGCAGGGCGGAGGTTGCAGTGCGCAGTTTTCTATGTCCTTTTCATCCGCCAGCGGCGCCAGCGCAACTGAAGTGTCCCCGTGCAGTCTCAGTTCCCCTAAAGGAGCGAAAGGTGGTGGCCTTTTGATCTCCTGTTGATCAACTGACTAGGAAGTTCCTCTGCTCAAAATATGGCTTGCCACCTCTTAAACATATCTACGCTTACAATCATCCCCTCTAAAACCGCCTGGAAAACACTTAGCATCATCTTTCATCCGGGAATCTTTTCGATATCTTTCATCACTTAGATCATCTTATTGTATCCAATTTCATCTATGCATAATATCATCATCTTATCTCCTATTTCACCTCTGGAACCACCACACAAATCTCCACCACTGCTCCTCCATGGCTTGTGCCGTGCGCCGCGCATCACCTGCGCGGACCGGGGACGTTTGACAGGCACAACGAAAAAACAGAACGTCAGCAAACCATTTTTTCAAAACGCATAACGCGAGGGCGATTTTGGAGCAGAGTTTAGGAGACCCCACTGAGCATGAAGGAAAACACGACAGCGAGATGTGGCAATGCATGTTCATTCTGACTGTGGCGTCGTTTTTTTCCTTCATCACCAAAGTCATGGCAAGTACCAAAGCCAAACTGTGCACGCTTGCTCCTTTGCCCTTCAAACTTTGTGAAACATTTTGACACTTGTGCTCATGCACATGACAGATCAAACCCGATCAAACCCAGTGAGCAAATCCACTTCCCTTGCCAAAGCTTGTCTGCACTTCCCTCTCTTAGTAGTAACAAGAAGCTACTAGGAGCTCCTGGCATCGCTACTAGGAGCAAGGACAAACAAAAACCACCACATCGCCGACCCGCGAGCGCCTGCTGCGGCTTCTTTCGTGGCATGCTGGAGCACCTGTCGTGGCGTGTTGCCCGCTCCTTTTGATGCTCCGTATGTTAAATGCTTCATCATGCTTCACTCTTTGGCCTTTCCATTTTGGTGAAACCAATCCCATCTGGTCCCAATCCGGCAGGATACATTCGTCTCCACTTAGGCCACTGAAACGCCAAGGAACCGCATGGGCAGTGCCAAAGTCCCACAAACCGCCTGGCAGCGGCGAGACGGTTTGACTCCGGACGGACGGGTCCACTTGGTTTCGAGCTACATTTGCTCCTAGTAGCGGCCAGGAGCCCCTAGTAGTACGGCCAGGAGCTCCTAGTAGCTTCTTGTTCCTAGCAGAATGGCCAGGAGCCCCAAGTAGCGTCCATAAGACAAAAGGGTCCAACAAAAATGTCACTCTGATGTGGTCGCACTGTTTCCATCACCAACTTCATAGACCCTCTGAATGGTCCAGATCTGCGCGCAGCTCGGCTTTTCGTTCACGCAAACGGCGCGCGACGCTGTGTCCGGTGCGATCTTGCTTGTTCAACACTTGCAACCCGCCGCTCTTCGGCAGTGCATCCAAAGGGTGGAACAAGAGGGCACCCCGACGAGGAAGTGATATAATATATCAACGTCAAAACACATGGCATCTGGAATAGATCAACTGGTTCCGACACCCACCTCCTAAGTTTTGATGAACGGAGAGGGCACAACCCCTACCAGTATGACATGTCTGACATGAGGACGAAGGCCTTGCACCCTAATCACACATGTCAGATGCAACGCCTGGATGTGTGTCTTTGTGTGAAGAGTTGATGACATCCTCCAACCCCAAACATCCCCAACTGGTATAGTAACAAGGTTCGCTACGAACGGAGCAAAGGGCATCGCTACGAACGGAGCAATAAAGCTACTAAATTGGTCTTTCGCAACTTGATTGCCCTCAAGGTATGTGGCAGCGACTTCAATACATATAACAGATCTCACCATGGATTTCCAGCAACCTCGGTCGCTTCCTAGATCCATTTGACCATCTTGGACCTAAATTGGGACTGTCTTCCGAAAACGATCTTCCTGGGCCTGTCACCTGTCACGGTCAATGGGTGTCTTCATGGGGTGAAAACACACCACGTGGCACAAGGGCTGACTGTTGTAGACTGAACATGCTCTACACTCGAAGCGACTCGGCGCAAAACAACAGCAAGTCGTGCAAGGCCCTGTTTTTCCCATGGCGATGATGGAACCGTCCCTTAGAGGCCCTTTTCTCTTCACAGCGGTGTCACCTCCCCTTCCACCGACCACTGCAGCGATGCCGGCGTGATCTCCTCCGGCCCTGGCGGGTCGGAGCGCGCGCCGCTTCCTCGCGCCGGCGCGGAGCTTCCGCAGGGCGGGCACAGCGCCCCCTCCTTCGCGACGGGACAACCCGTCCGGCGTTCGTGTTTTTCGGTGCTTGTGGATCGGTCCGCGGAGTGTTGGGTGGACGGTCTCCAAAGGATATCCACGAAGATCAAGAAAGGTGTTTTTAGTCAGGTGTGTGTCCTCTTGGCGACCCCTTAAAAGGTGCTTTTTAAGTGGCCAACACCTTGCACGGCCTGCCTTCGCGCAACTCATCACGCTTGGTACGAAAGTGAACCCCAGGAATGGTCATTTTCTGACCAACAAGTCTGTCGCATGGCTGCCAGGGTCTATCCTAATATTATACCACATTGTACCAGTATCAGTGGATGATGGTTCAGTTGCAGGCCTTTCCTCTCTTTGACTGCGACGATGTCAGGTCAGTTCGGACCGACGAGCCCATTGGGCGAACGGGAAGAGCCTTGTCCAACGACCCACGGAGAGCAACCTCAGTGGAGGTCCAGCCTTCGAAAAAACACCATGAGTTCTTGGAAAGACACGTTTTCTTCTTTTCTGTTCTTTTTATTTCATGTTTCGACCAAGATATCGCACGGCTGGGCCACTCCGCGGGAGCAAAAAAACCTTTGACGTGCAGGAATTTGTACGGGAAAAATCAGGCAGGTGCAAAACGAACACATCTGTATAGCTTGGAGGGTTAACACATATTTCCATCGTTTCAAAACGACTGCACAAAAGTATCGAGGTATATTGGGAAATCGTTCATGAACGGGGACAATCATGGAGAATCGCTGTGACCGGCCATTGGCAAGATGGAAACAGGGTCGTTTACCAGGGGAACTTCTTTTTCCGTCCGTTTCGGCGTTGGAATCGTGCCGGCGCTCTTTTAAGCGACCCGTTCCGTTCTTCAACGGGATTGGTTTGACGTCGGGAGCCACAAAGCCCAATCGACCCTGAAAGAACGTTTGACGTCCTGGGAAGCTTCAGTTCTAAGTTCCGGTGGGGCAGACGACGGAATTGTTCCCGTCCTCACGTGAGAACATTTCTTTGTTCATCATTGTTCCATATTTCTTGGGAAGCTACTAGGAACAAGTGCATCGCTAGTAGTAACAGGTGCCTTACTAGTAGTAACAAGTGCCTAAGGTGCCGGACGGTCGTTTCACCGAACCAACCGTCCCCAACTTCGTCCCCGTGTCGTCCGACCAAGCAGCCGTCGGTGCCGGCCTCGGGCGCGGTGGAAGAAGCAAAAGGTTTGAGAGAAATTCATGGCCTCGGCTCACTCTGCTCACTCGGAAGTGGAAAAACACAAAAGAACCATGAAGAGCTTCTTTTGGGGGGAAAGTCCGGTCTTTCAAAAGGATGGACCATGCCAGCGAGTCAGAGTGTTTTTGCGTTTGGTGAACAAAACAAGAACACCACCGACCACTACCGACCTCTGATGGATTCCACACACACCGTCTCTCTCCAATTCCCAGCCGATTCCGTTGGTCGGGCCGCCGCACTGACAACACACACCGACTGCCTGGCGAGGTCAAGCGTTGTCCGTCGGTGGCAGACCATTGGAGACGGGTTTGAGGATGTCGCTGTGTGTGTTTTCGATGTCCCTTTTGATCTGAAGGGCCACTGCATCACTGACTCACCCTTCAGCCGGAGTCCAAGCATCTGTTTCCACAGCCTGGAAAGGGCCACTGGTGTCATATGTCCAAACACCACCTGTTCAACATCAGGCGCTCTCTCTCTCTCTCTCGTCCCTAGTGGCCCATGGGGCAGGTTCCGCAATGCTCTTCACGGCCGTCGGTCCATATCGATCTACCATGATCTCCATGAAAAACCCATTGCTTCCAGGCTTGATGTCCAAGGTGAAACATAATAGATAGCATGCATCAAAACATCCGGAAAGAAAGGAAAACAGAAACAAACAGCCCACTCGTTGCTTCATTCACTCTTCATTCACTCTTCCTTCCCACACAACGTTCCACCCTCGGGATGGTGTTTTTGCTCTTTGGATCCTCTTTGTCTGCCTTTTCCCTCGCCCCGACAGGACGAGTCTCCCATCCACTCGATCGCGATTCCCGTTTTTCGCCTCGACGCCCGAGGCCTCCTGCGCTGGGTGACTCCTGTCGGTGATACCCGGATGATTGGATCGATCTTTGAACCCTCGAATGCAAAAGGTCTATCTTGTATGAATGAACCCATTTCAACAGAACAAACTAGCTGAAACCATAGGCATTGGTTGGAGAAGATCTAACTAGGTCGGTGAATTGGGGTCACTCATAGTCACTCCATCCTGTTCCTTGGTATGACAAGGCCAAACCCTGTGTCAACAAGCTGCTGCTGTTTGGGGCGTTGGAACACCTGGCTCCGGTATGCTCCCATCCCGTCCGTATCAAGCGCTCAATGCTCCCCGCTTGTCATGAGACCCAGCCCAGCCAAAACAGTGACCTCAGGATTTGAAGATCGATTTGAACACAGAAGGCTTCCTCCGGCATGTCGCTCTCGATAAGTCGGTGAAAAAAAAAACGGCTTCCTCCGCGTCGTCCGTGAAAACCGACCCTGAAAACCCGCGTTTTCGTGCGTTTCGCCTGGAGGCGGAGCGTCGTTCCAAGGTCTTCAGGAAGGCCACGTAGTCGCCCCGAGGCTCCTGGTTTCGCTCGCCACGAAGCTGTCGGAGCGATCGGACGGGACGCGACTGTCGTGTTGGAGTTCAACGAAGACACGGCGTCAGACGAAGCTGGCGCAATTTGGTGTCCGAAGACACGTCGTCTCCCACTTCCTCCTCAACTCATAACCGCGAACTCAAAAAGGTTCGCTAGTAGAAACAAGTGCCACGCTAGTAGTAACAGGTGCCTTACTAGTAACAAGAAGCGAACGTAGAAACAAGAATTACTTTTTCTGGTGTTCCAAAGGAAATGTTTCGTTCGTTCCTTCGAGATCTTCTCATGCTTCCCCCGTCTGGCTGGCGCGAACGCGCATGGACAAACACACACGACCGTCGTCCTCGGCCCGGGCGATGCCTCGCCAATCCGCCTCTCTGGCCGCCTTGGAGGTTTGGGAGGTCCCCCCCAACCCCCATCATCTCATGTGTCGTCCCTGATATCTGTTGTTTTTTCCAAAACAAAGAGCGAAACCGGAAAATATGGGCGGAAAGATGTGACTGAATTGGGCCACCCAAAGAGGTGCCATGCAACTGTTCCAGCCATCTGAACCGGGAAGCCACCGGGAAGCTACGCGAAGCTACGCCACGCTTTGGCCTCGTTTTGGGCGTAGTGGTAGAGGCTTAAGATCTCATCATCTGAGAGCTTCAAGACCTGCCAGGAGCAGGGCAGGAGCTTAACATCTGGCCAGGAGAAGACTGCCTTACCATAGCAGTGGGCCTGTGGGCCTTTGCTTGCAATAGGGCAAATCCGGATTCCGGATTCGCCACTTCTTCATTCCAAGAGCCCAAAGACTTGGACTTCGCCACGCTTCGGCATGGCGCGCCCGCGGACCGGGTGACTCTCCGGCTTCGCCCCGCCTTCTTCACCAGCGCCGGAAGCGGCGTGGACGCGCCCGCCGAAAAAGAGAGCGGACCCTGCAATGGCGTCGGTCACGCGGCCCGTCTGGGCAAGCAATCAGTGTCCTAAAGTGTGAGTCGCGCCCATGACGCTCGCTTATGGAATGGGATACTGATTGCGTGCCCTATGCAATGGAGGGTCTGTCTCTCTGGGGAACCAACATGGACATACATGGTTCCCGTCGTCCCTCAAAAGCCACGTCTCGAGCTGCTTCTGTTTCGACCTGTTTCGCTTCACCTTGATTCGACGTGTCGTGCACTTCGGTTCCCGTCGGCCGTTGATGACGCTGGTGACAAGTTAAAGGCGAGTGTTCGAAAGCGAGCATTCTGACGGACGTTGCCGGGGTATCTCCCCACGCTTAGTCTGCCGGGTTTAAGATCCAAGTGCATTCCACCTCCAATCAAACAATCATTTAACACATCATACGAAAGGATCCATTTCAACCTGAAGTATAGAAGAAAATGCTCTGACATGCTAAGCCTTCCAAAAGAATCATTTAAGATATACTAAGTTACTATGCCATGCTCAGCCCCATTTCGGAAGACTCAGCTGCTTCTCCCCGCTTCTCGCCTCGCCCGCGCCCGCATCGGCGGACTCGGTCGGTGCGCCATCCGAAGGAAAAATAACAGACACCAGCTATGTTACAACGAAGGGTTTTTTTCATGAAGATCACAAGTTCTCAACATCGGTTGGGATTGGATTTGAATGATTTGTGTTCCCAGTAACATCATTTAAACAAAAAGCCACATGTTGTGTAGATGGTGGTCCAATGGAACGGAGAGAGAGCGCCCCAACAGGGCCACCAAGTGGTATGCGGCCCTGGTGGTGGTGCAAGACACCATGTTATCATCTTTTATCTAAGTCATGCTGAATCACTTACTAAGGCTACACCAAGTGTTGTAAGGAAAATCGAGCATGGTAAGTGATAAAACCCATCCTATTAAATGGTCGAAAGGAATGCCCCAAACACGCATGCACTGGCGCAGGCGAGGAGTGGGTGTTCTCATGTGTTCTCCCACCTTCCCAGAAGACTTCCTCAACTCTTTGGGCATCCCGACTCCACCCATGTTTGGCGGCCTGTGAACAAATTGACCGTCGGATTGGTGAAGGGAACATCTACGATGTCATATCAGGAAACCATGGGTTTTCACCTCCAAAGCCGTTTCCTTCAACCACATTCTCGTCAGTTCTGGGACATCCAACATCCAACATACAGACCATGTACCATTCCCTAATAGCATTTAGGTTGGAGGCCACTCGCTTCCTTGCCTCGGATCGAGCCATCGATGGCCATCCGGTGCCGTGCTCTGACGTGTGAGGTCTTCGCTCCGCGATTCCAAAAAGGGCCGTCCAAAGGGACTACTTTAGGAGCACAAAGGAGCACAGGTACTCCGACTGGAAAGTGGGCTGATTAAATTTCGATCTCTGTAAAAGTCTTCAGCATGGCATGTGCTGAGTAGAATAGAACAGTTCAACACCAAAGAAACCACATGAAGAAAAGCACCCAAACCGCATTACTACTAGTAACAAGTGCATCAGTAGTAACAAGAAGCTACGAACGTAACAAAGGGCATCGCTACAAACGGAGTCAAGGATGCTACGAACGGGGCGCTCTCCTGGCCTTACTAGTTGCTGGTAGCAAGAAGCCACCAGTAACAAGGGTAAATGTTCACTTTGGCGTTCGCGGGTTGAGTGCCCAACAGACACGTCTCGTGCCCCCCCCGGGAGCTGGTCTTGAGGCCGTCGCCCCACGGGTCACGCGAAACGCGGCGTTTCACGCGCGCGGCCTGGGGCGGGTCTTGGAGATGGACCGTGACCAGCTGCTGGGGGCACTGGGCTCCATGGCGGCCATGGCAGGAGAAAATGGGAATGACTAGAGAGTGATATTCGTCGTGGGGAGACCGATAGAGAAGCCGTGTCCAAATTCTTTATAGAAATTAAGCTACTAGTAGTAACAAGAAGCTAGTAGTAACAATTAAGCTTATTTGTTGTTTTGCTTTGGCACGTCATCTCGCTGAATCTAGTGCGGCGGAAGTCGCGTCGCCTTCTTGGGCTTGGAGACGGTGAAAAACCTTCCTTCACTTCTCCCTTTTCCGAGGGCAGCTTGAAAAAGCAGTTAGAAACAGTGACCTGAAGGCCATGGATATCCATGGATCCTTCTGTGCCTTAGGCACGGTGCTTCAGGTTCTTCTAGTGTTTCAAAGCCGACACCTAGTAGCATCGCTCTTGATCTGCCGAGCTTGCCAGCTGGTCCAAACTCTTGCAGGCAAACGAACCGGGTATACGAGTATAGGGTACGTTTTGGGTACCTAAATCAAAGCATTTTGTCACTTCGCCGCACACCGCACATCACGCCAAGCTGGAGCCCAAAAAAAACGAGAAAGCCAAACATCATCTGTACAAGCTTCATCATGTCCTTTCATGTCACACGACCACTTGTCGAGTTTGTTCTAGAAAAGCCTTTCAACGGCAATTCAGCTTGCTCTTCAAGCCATTTCCCTCACCACAAAACGGACCACCACGAGGTCCCCGGTGGTCTCGGACCTTCCGGACGGGGCACGTAGTGCTCGGCATGGACCGGACCTGGCGACCGAGCCCGGTGCGGCACGGGGCATCCAACCGGGGGAAACAAAACGAAGCAACGAAGAAGACACGTCCGTCTTTGGGTGTTTCGTTGGGCCGTCGGTTTCTTTTGGTTTTCTACACCCAACGAAACACCCAGGGACCGTACCCTAGCTGATCTAGCACCAACTATACCAGCTCTGCAGGCCCAGGCTTCAGAACGTCTCTTTGCCAAAGAAAGCATCTCAAAGCGGTGAATGAGATGCCGTTTGCGCATGTGCATGTTGTTGTGATCCAAAGAAGTGGCTGTGGATTTTGTTCCTGATCGTATCCAAAAACAACGGATCCACAGGAGGCTGCCCTCTTCGTCTCATCTGGGCCCTCCGAGCTGTCTGGGTCGCCAGGATGTAGGCGCCCCTGCCGGACCGGTGGGACCCGACGCGCTTGGTGCTGGGAGTCTTCTCGCATTCTGTAGGAAAGATATCGGCAAAGCACCGAGAACATCTCCCGGTGGAGGGGCAATTCTTCCAACACGAGTCGACCAATGGAATGGACGCCCATTGGTCAAAAAAGGAAAACAAGCGTGAACAGTCCGCCTCGTCATCATCGTCCTCCGTTTGGGGGATCGTCATCCGTTTCTTTCCGCGGAAGGGTTTCGTTTCGTTTCGGAGACCGGTGGAACCCTCAGTCCGATGGTCCGTCCTCGACACCGCTGGGCTGATCAGTGAAGATTGCTGTTGAGTATTGGACTCCATGTTGGCATGTTGGGGAGCTAATCCTCGGGCCACTCAGAACCAATGGACACATCTCTGAACACCACACAGAATGTAATCACACAAGGAAAACAACCTTCAACTTCGACACAGTGAAGCCTTCGACACTCGCTCTTCACAGGTGTCCACCCATCTGTGCTTCGGTTTGGTGCCTCGATTCCGCGTCCTGTGGGTGGACGACTGGCCCACCGGTGGACGAATTCGCAGCACATCCGCCAAATCGATGTTTGGGCTCACGGTCCACATCTATCAGGGCCAGTGATCCCCCCGGTTTGCGGTTTTTCTAGTGGACATCCCGAATCACCTCTAAGGAGCTATAATTGGACACCCCTGGCCCCGGGGGGCCCTAAGGAAGATGTGCACGGATCGAAACCGATTTGTTCTGTGGCAAGTTTCTGCAACGGAATTGGACACCTCAGCGCATGTTGGCGCTCAAAAAAGAAAACAGCTTCTGCAAATCCACAAACCCTCACCCCCACATTTTCGCGATCTCTTCATTGGTCCACAGGTATCCCGTTTTAATCCGTTTTACCTCCCAAATATCCCCCCAAATACACATGCTGCAGTTGACCCTTGACCGAACACCAGATGTCCGTCCTGCCCCGGTGGCCACTTTGGACCCTTTGGGCACATCTGCCTCGGCTCGGCTGGTCAGCGGGGCCGGTGACTCGGTTCTGGGAAGTAGCTGGAGCTCCAAGAGCCCCGCCACGCTGGGTGAAGCCGTGGGGGAAAGAAAAGAAGGCGTGAAAGAGACGTGAAAGAGTCTGTGCCCCTTTTCTTTGGGCGAGACGTCTGGTGTTTCTGCTCGTGCAGCCAACATTTTGAAGAGCGGACGCCAAATGGACGACCTCCCAAACCCTTTGGTTGACCTCCCTGTAGCCAGTCAAGGTCCCCCCTGTGCTATGACCCACTGCCAGCGTGGTAGCTGGCAGCTGATCTTGGCGTTGGTTTCATGCTGTTTCATGCAATAGAAACGCCTCCTGCGCCCATCACGGGGCTCGGAAAGCTTGAAGGCACATGGATGCTTCTTGCAAGGATTCACAGCCTGGATGCCCTTTGCGGCGAATGGGACTCTACGGACATTGGGAGAGCTTTACTGCCGCAACCCTTCGGAAAAAAGCAAGACGCGAAGCATCGAGCTGGTTTTTGGCCTGACACCAGACACCCCTTGAAGCTGTCTTTCATGGGCCACCCTCCATGCGCCTTCTTTGTTTTTGTTCAATACGAAGGCTGTCTTCCACAGCCACTGGTCCCTTCTCCCTTCGCTCGTCCTCGTCTTGCTTTCCTCACCAGATCGTCGCGCCTGTGTCAGCACGAAGGAGAGGAATGGTGCCACCTTTGTCCACCAAATCATTCCATGGCGACCGCAGAAAGATGTGAATTGAACGGTGCTTTTGTGAATCACTGATGGAGGCCGACAAACCATGGCGCGAGTGCTTTTGACACGTGCCTTTTGTAAACTCATATATGTGGCATATCAACATGCCACCATATCTATATATACATCAATATAGGAATTGCATCACATATAGATCGGCAAGCAAATGTTTGTTCCAAGTTCACGATTTGGTGGCTCCTTGGCCGGAAACATTGCGTTGGGGAGATTTGGGGACCATTTTTGTGATCCTGCCGTGCCTGAAGCGAAGTGGCAAACCCTTGGGCCAGAGGCTTTGGAACAAAACCACACGGAACGAGTGGGAACGTCCAAAGCAAAAGGAAGAACATCAAGCCGGCAGCCAACATCCGCTCCGCCTCCCAAAACGATCGAACCCTCTTTTTCGAACGCGACACCTTCTGGGCTTCGCCTCTAAAGCTCCAGAAGGGGTCGCCGGGTGAGACCGGTCGCCCTTCTCGTCGCGGAGAGAAGAAGTGCAGGCGGAATCGCTGCGGTGTTTTCGGCCCGATTGGGGGGTGGGGTGGGTTTTGGAAGGGCCCAACCCGGAAGAAGAGCATGGCAAAATCAGCTGCAGAGCTTTCAAAGGGGTGTTCTGCCTGGAGGTCCACAAGTCGTGCAAGGATCTTGCATATTCTTCGGGAGACACTTCTTTCATGGCAGTCCTTTTTCAGCAGCAACACCCTGAATCTGAAACACATGAACAAAAACACCTCGCGCATGCTGGATGGAACGGCAGCCCATCGTATGGTGAATATGCTTGATATCGGAACCCACCAGAGGGTCCGTCGCAGCGGTGGTCGACAGTCGACTCCTTCGTGGATCTGTTGATCTGTTGGATCGGGTCGGTTTCGGGATCTCGGAGAGCCCAACGCTTGGTCCGGCTTCACCGTGGTCCCGGACACGACTCCGTGGTGACGAAGAAGGGGTTGAAGAAGGCACTAAAACGAAACGGGGAGAACCATTGGAGCATGGAGCGCACTCGTTTGGGCCCGTGATGAGTTCTGCTTCGTTGGAGTTCGGAACCAAAAAAAACCGCTACTGGGAGCAAAAGGGCATCGCTACGAAAGGAGCGAGGACGCTACGAACGGGGCTCCTGGCCGTACTACTAGGAGCAAGAGGATGCTACGAACGGAGCTTGTTCGGAACCAAAAAACCAAAGACCTGGGCCGTCGCGGAACGCAAACCGCGGGCTGGGCAGCGCACACCGCGGGCTGGGCTGCGGGATACGCGCAGCGAAGGAGTGGCCCGGGAAGCGAGTGAACAGAAGAGACAGCTTTTTGGGGCAAGTCACCTAGAAAAGGACCTCTATCTATCATCTATATCTGCATATATATATATATATGACAAAATCACGGATTCTCAAATCATGTTGCGACAAATTCACCGGCTTGTCACTTCGTGATGTTCACTTCTCCATGACTCAGCCCTTCTTCGAAGGACCGAGAGCCCGCTTTGGGCGCTGTAATACACTGCAGTGTTAGTGACACGGAGGCCGGTGGACCGCCTCAAAAAGACCTCTCCGATGCTCGCCCAAGATCTGTTGGCCAACAGAAGAGCCTTTCCCAAAAGAAAAGGAGAAACCGTCCACGCAAGTGAGCGGCAGAAACGTTTTTTTATTTTTTGTGACCGGATTCCCAGGCAGCATCGAAACCCATCAGCTCCGGTGATATCGAAAGCCCCGAAGTGGTGCCCGCGTGGCTTCGAGGGTGGTTTTCGTGTGGTGGCTGGCCTTCACTCCAACTGGCCGGGGCTTCGTGCATTTATCACAACAAAAGTCACCTCACCTGCTGGATCTTGATTCCAACCTTTGGCATCTGATTGTGGCTCCTCTCCCGGAAAAAAGCACATTGTCACAATGTCTTCTTACTACCCCTTGCCCTACTATTGAATACATGGATGCCAGGTCTTCCTTGCACTCAAAAAGGACACAAAAACTTAGGTGTTCCATTCCTACCCAAAGAGAGAATCCGTTCCTCCTCTGTCTTGTTCGGGGCGACCTTCAATCACCGAAGCTCACCTCCATCACCAATGTGCCTAACGTGCGCCAAGCAGCTGCAAAGGTGGGTCCCCAGCTGCAGCAATGGATCAAGGATCCAAAAAGGCTCCCAAGGGTACCAGAAG